TTAGGTGCAAAAATTCAAAATGAAATTTCTGATATTCAATTGCGGTTTCGAACCCATCGTTTTGTAGTTTAAGCTAACACCTCAATGAAGTGTCCTCAAATACTGATTCATCCAGAACATAAGGCTTCATTACAGATTTAATAGCGCGAATTTCTCAAAAATTATTTTTGGACTTATCAATTAAATACATTCACGTACGGCACAAGAGCCGCACTATACTCAGCTATAAAATGCATTCAAATTTCAGCTCAGGAAAATATTGAACGATTTTCAATTGCGGGTAACACCATTTCGAATTATATGTATGTTGACGATACATTTATTAACTGGCACCAGTGATCTATTGGAAATAAAATTGAGCTGTCAAAATATATTTGATATTTTAAATTTCGCCACATTTATCTTGCGCAAGTGGAATGCGAACGATTATCAGATCATTCCTGATTTTCCGCAACTTGATATAACACATTCTATTGTGGATATCAAAAATTTAGATAGTTCTAGAACGTTGAAAATTCAATGGTGAACGAGTCTGATCTTCTATCAAATTCAATATAAAACAGTTTGTTGGCCATAATCCTATTACTGAAAGGTATATTCCATCAATTATTTCGCAAAATTTATTGTCCTGATTCAGCAACTTTGGTCACTTTATTTATTCTGGGATATAGAGCCCAGTTTCCATTAATCGAAAAAGAACTTGGCTAAATTTTCGAAATAATATCATTCATTCTTTTTGAAATTTGAGCTTCTGAAAGTAGTCGTAGTTATATATGGCCTCGATTATGGCCGAAAACCGATGACACCCACTGGTTCAATCTGATTTTCAAATATACCTACTCAACAAAATATGGTCATCAAAATCGATAGAAAAATACAAATTTCGAAGGCTTGGTTAACGAGAAAACATCATAATTGTGCTGATGTTAGCGGTATTCAGAATTGTATCAAGTTTCAATCACTGTAATACTTACTAACATAAATTGAAAGTGGAGACTGGTGACATTCCATTTCAGAATAAAAAATGGGAATATAGTTTGCTGAATGCAAAAGTATGATTATGCTCGATTCCAACACTCAAATTTGGAGAACCCAAGGAATACATACTGATCAATACATCAAAAGTGCCACATTCAATGTGTCCCAACAAAAAATCATCAGTTTCACAAAAGCTTTGAATTTTGTTAAAATTACCTGTATAATGTAAGTACAGGTATATTGTGCTCATCAGAATGTCATGTTTATGGTAGCTAGTTCAGATTTCATATCTCGTCGAGTATATTATAACCACGAGGTTAATTACGTGCTGACGTAACAGTATGTTGTATACTAGTGGACTTATCGCAGTGAACTTTTCAAAATACATTATTCTCAGAATTTTCCATTTGAATTTTCCTGATGAATAATAATGATATTATGGAAATTATCTATGATTTCGGGTGTATGATTGAATTTTTAAGTGAAAATAAACTTCAATACTGGTAATATTTATATATTTTTATATTTATCGAGTTTTTTTTTTTTCAGGCAGATCGCTTCACGTGGTAGTGGACGGTGTAACGTCTGATGCCATTGGCATCAATTCCGGCGTTCCACAAGGATCAATTTTGGCACCATCATCATTCCTTCTCTATATAAATGATCTGTTGAGTGTAACAACTTGCCCCATTCACAGCTTTGCAGATGAAAGTACCCTCCATACTGCGTTCTCTTCCAGAATTCCCATTTCTTCCCAGGAAACTAAGAACTCACGGCGCAGGCAGGTCAATGCTGTCAATGAAGACCTTGCTGAAATCACAGACTAGGGAACCAACAACCTAGTTGAATTCAACGCCACCAAAACTCAAGCCTGTATTTCCTCTAGGAAGGCAGAACTCAGTATGCCCGATATTGTAATGTCTGGCACCACCATCCCCACCGAGCCGACCATTTCTATACTCGGTATTTCCATCAGCAACACTCTTTCATGGAATAATCATGTCAGATCCATGGCAAAAGCTGCTTCACAAAAACTCGGATTCTTGTTTCAAGCGAAAAGCTACTTTACACCTCAACAGCTTCTCATGATCTACAAAGCGCAGATACGGCCTGTTCTAGAATACTGTTTCCACATATGGGGTTCAGCACCAAAACATACGCTGATGCTCTTAGATTCCATCCAGAGAACAGTCATTCGCCTGGTGGGTGGCGCCACACTCACTCACTCTTTGACATCATTGGAACACCGTAGAAAGGTCGGCGACTTTTCACTTTTCTATCGATACTTTCACGGGAAATGTTCTTCGGAAATCTCTGCTATCATCCCTTCACTAGCGATACCAGTCAGACGAACTAGACAAGCCCAGTCAGCACATCCTTTCGTATTCAACCTCGAAAGATGTTGAACAGCACTTCATCAAAACTCCTTCACCCATATAGAACGGCTAGGCTCTGAAATTCATTGCCTGAGGAAGTATTTCCAACAACATATAATCTCCAGAAATTCAAGAGAAATTCCAATACCTACCTCCTGTCTCTATCCTCCCTTGGAACGCACGATGTTCTTCGAACATTATAGCGATTTCCTTTCGTGCGCTCCAAACGATGAAAAAAACATTATATAAGATCATCCATGAATCATAGAGAATTCTCAAAAAAGGATTACCAATCAAGTGAGTTAATCATGGAATGATTTCCTAAAGAGAAGGAATAATCCTAGTAAAATTTTAAGAGGTTGGAGAAAACACTACAGGAGTTAAGTTTCTGTCTGAATTGGGATTATTAAAATTGCACCCAACCCAAACAGGAATTTTACCAAAATGATTTTCAGTCTACCTACCTGTTGGCTACCTACCATAGGAAAAGGAACGAATGTTGAATCAATCAAAATTGTCAATATTGAATTGCTTACTTAGTTCTATTCTCTATTGGTTTTAGTACAAGCATCACTGCCTTCATGTCAATACTACTACAATACTATTGAGACTTGAGAACAGTGAAATCATGTTCTATGTACCTACTAATGCAGTGCTTGTGAAAATGGATGCATTTATTCATTCCTCATAAGTTACACTTATGGTCATGCGAAACGGAGTATATCTATTTAGGTATTTTTTCGAAAATGAAATATCTGTTCATTGAACCTAATTTAGTGCTTGATTCACATAAAATGATGAAAAAAAAATTAACAATGCATTTTTGTCCTGGGAATTTCGTGAATGTGGGTACCTTACGCCACGAAGATTGAGATCTCTAATATATACGCTTCAAGACAGGAAAATATCCATGTGTTGACTGATGTGACGCAACGTGTTAATATTGTCGCATCGACAACTACTGATTGAAACGAACACACAAATAAACATAAAAATGACCATTGGGATCTCAGTAACTATGAGAGATAGAGGAACAGTTAAATCGGCAAAGTTGTAGCAAATTTAATGTTGAATCAGAATCTACGAAGAAATCTGGACTAGCTTCAGTCATTCTTGAGTTATGTATTTTTGTTTTGTTCGAATATCTCGGAAACTATTGATTTTATGAAAAAATGAGATCAAAATTCTCATAACATCTTTTTATGTTTTTTTCAATGGTTTTGTCAGTTTTCCATCAAAATGTCAAATTTGTGAGATATCACCTACAACTTCAATTTTTCTCAAGGACGCCATATTGGATTTCAACAGATTTGATATCAGCATAAAATTTCCTCCCTATATAGTGATATATCACAATCACAGTTTCATTTTATTCGGGGTACTGATTTGCAATTTTTGTTTTTATGTCAAATAGGCTATGAATTCTGTAACTAATTAATAATACTCGAAGTTATCTCCATGACAATTCATTATGTTGTGTTATTAGTTACTACTCCACTCCACCATGACTATTACCTTAAGATTATAGAATCTGTGTTCTATGTTCTTGAATAACTTAACAGGTGGATAATACATATACTGAAAAAAATTAATTGAACTGCTCGAAATGGTCCCCATTGTTCAATATTGGCGAGCGAACATGATTCGCTGCTTTTCTTAGATGAACTCTGTTGATGTGCTGGAATGTGTCCATCGCTCTCTCGTAGATCATCAATATCTCGAATTGGCTCTTCATAAATTTTATTTTTGGCGTAGCCCAATGGGTAAAACTGGAGATGCGTACAATCAGGCGACCTTGGAGGCCATCTAACAGGTCCATGAGAAGTAATTAATTTAGCACCAAATTGATTATCGAGATATCGATATCGATTCTTTCACACTGGTTCACGAACCAGTGGCAAAACTCGAATCGACGTTCATTATCACCAGGTCTCAACCCTTGTCCTGTCACTGGTTATTGTGAACGGCATTGTTTGCCCCGAAATAATGAACTTGTATTTCCTCTTGACGATTACAGAAATGTCACTTGGCTCCAAGCCTACTCTATGAAAGTTATGCCAGAACATATAATCGTGATTGTTTATGGAGAGTTCAGCGCATAGCCTACTTGACATAAAAATAAAACTTGGAAATCAGTTCTCCTTATAGAATGAAACTGTGACTGTGATACATCATTAGGAAGGACATTTTGTGCTGATTCCAAATCTGTAAAAATCCAATATGGCGTACATGAGAAAAACCGAAGTTGTAGGTGATATATCATCAGGAATTTTACATTTTGATGGAAAACTGACAAAACCATTGAAAGGAATACCAAAAAGTGCTATGAGAATGTTAAAATAATTTTTTCATAAAATCAATAGTTTCCTAGATATTCGAGAAAAACAAAGATACAAGATTTCATTTTTTCTCGAATAACTCAAGAATGACTGAAGCTAGCCTGTATTCCTTGATAGATCCTGATTAAACTTTAAATTTGCTACAACTTTGCTAATTTAAGCGTTTCTCTATCTCTCATAGTTACTGAAATACCAATGGTGAGGATCGAATTTGGGACACACTGTATATTTTGAATGCATCGAGTGTGATAATATCGATTCTATATGACGGTCAGTAATTGCAAGAGTGATTGTAGCTGATAGTTACCTCGAATCGTAAATTTCCTAGTGGTGGCTCTGCAAAAGGTATCCCTTGGAAAGCATAAACTGTCGTATTCTTCCCGACTGTCTTGACTAACTTTCCCATTATCATACCATCTTGTATAGAAACTATAACATCATCCGACATCTGAAATGAAAAATGAATTGGTCATTTGTATTGCGGATGTAGAAGTTGTAGTTAGACATGGTTATAAACTCATAGTAACAAGTTCACAATAGGGATTTTTGTTCTGCCAATTTTCTATGCGGAAAAAACATTACATTCTAAGGACTTAGGACATCGACAATTCAAGAGGATTTTCTGATTGAAACGTCTCATTCATCTGATATTGAAAGCTCATGACAAAAAAAGTGGAACAACTTTAATTGCATAATAATGTACCCATGATTATTGTCTTCTTGTGAATTTAAACCGATCAGAACGTGGAATTGAGCTAATAGACTACCTTGTATAATTTCGAATATACATCGAGTAGCTTCACCAATCAGAAATTCAAAATTATTTCCATTTCCATAGTAACCAATTCATACTGTTACATACAAACGGAGCGCGTCGTAAAATTTTGACGTTTGTTCAGAACTAGGTACCCAAAGAATAATCGCATTGAATACAATTCGAACTCCATAATCTTTCAAGATATTCATCTCAAACTTCCTGCACAATTACAAATCGTGTCAGTTCCACAGAATATTCCAAATGTTCAACTGACACATTTTGTGATTATGCAACAAGCTGACGATATATAACCCGAATATTTCGAAGAACTTATAGTGTTACTACTGATAATAAAATTATCAGGAACCCACTACAAATGATTTCAAATGCTTCGAATATTCAATATGCAACGTCTCCATTTCATCCTGTAAACCACCTGACCAAATTTTGAAATTGCCGCTAAAAGATTTGTCGTTCTCATGTTTGCCGCTATGGACTGATGAAGATTATTGTTACCGATAGGCGTGTGATTACCATAATGCCATGAAATTCTTTGAAGTGATACATTAGTTATTTTTCAATCAGAAATAATAATTTCTTACTACGATACTCTTTGGTTCCTAACTTTTCTTTGAAGACTTCAGTCCAGGAAATGCCAAATGATTCATCATGAAAATGTCATGTAATGTCGATTGATCGAATCGGGAGTACTATACTGAACAACCATTACATTCATTATCCCAAATTTTTTTGGGATTTTCTCTCCTCGTTTCTATGAAATGAAAATATGAATATTACTTCAATATACGTGTAGTAAGGACAAATCAGATGATTTGCCTCGAAATGTCACTGCGTTTAGAGAATTTTCCTATCAAAGAGCCTGAAGGTAGATAAAAAAAAATATCAAATGTTCACTTATCTTTGGACCAAATCTGCTCCTGTTTTCAACATAAAAAATGGTTCTTATAATAGCAAAGTCGTATCTGTCTTGAAACTTTTCAGTTCTTAGTGACAATTGGTGAAGTTTGCAATCAAATGAGTTATAGGATGTTTTGATTAAATAATCTTGAATTTATCATTTTCATGTTCAGATTCCAGTAGTGAATACCATGTTCTGTCTATATCAACTGAACAAGAAGCAATGCTATTGTCTCCGTCCAGAAGAATGAAAGCAGATTCCTTGATTTTTCTCTTCTTTTTCAATGATTTTAATATTATTCCACTCTGCCATATGTTGTCCGTCTTCAGTAAGGATATGTTCAGTTAATTTCGATTTATCGATGTGTCTTTTCTCTATATTGTCCTTATGCTCCCTCGTCCTTTCTAAAAGAGGTTTCTTGGTTTCACTTGTTTAAAACTTTCCACAAACACAAGGAATACTGTAAATTCAATTTTTTGACAATTGTTCTTCATTTTTTGTCTTTGGTTGAGTTAGAATTGATCTCATAGTATTTCCAGTTTCGAACACAGTTTCCACTTGAGATTTATCACCAACACGTTTTATTTACTCAGATATGCTGGGAATGTATGGTATTATATTTGTCGTTATTGATGGTTGATTTGGTTGTGGTTGACCCTGTTTGTTTTCAATTTGGTGAATCGTTCTATCGACAAAATTCTTCAGATAGGAATTGAGTTGAAGAACATTCTCAATGTGATGGACTTCGTTATTGAAGATTATTTGTTGGTCAGATGATATTGATTTGGCTCTATCATATGTAGTGATTTGATTATTCCTTTCTTAATACCTCTCTGATGATTTGATTGAAAGTTCAAATATCTGTTAGTATGGGTCTTGTCACGATATACACTTGTAACAAATATGTTATCTGATTTCTCAATAAAAAAATCTAGAAAAGGTAACTGAATGTTAGATTCAATTTCCAAAGTGAACTCTACGGTAGGTTCGGCAATGTTCACATAATCTAGCTCCATGGTTATGTGGAATAATTATGAAAATATCATCTACGTATCGCCACCATGTTTCAGGTTGTTTTTGGTGATTTTTGATGATGTTGTCTTCGAAACTCTCCATATGGCAGAGTGGAATAATATTTAAATCATTGGAAAAGAAGATAACAACCAGAAGAGAAAAATCAAGGAATCTGCTTGCATTCTTCTGAACAAAGAAAATAGCATTGCTTCTTGTTCAGTCGATCTAGACAGAATATGGTATTCACTACTGAAATCTGAACATGAAAATGCTAAATTCAAGATTAATCAATAAAAACATCTTGTAACTCATTTGATTGCCGACGTCACCAATTTTCACTGTGAACTGAAAAGTTTCGAGACAGATACGACTTTGCTATCGAAATAAACATTGTTTATGTTGAAAACGGGAGCAGATTCGGTCTCAAAGCGTCTAAAGATAAGTGAAAATTCGATATTTTTTCTATATACCTCTATTTCTCTTCTTCAATCTTTTTTCATTTCAAATTGTCACTGACAAGCTAGTGGATTTTTCTTTTAGGCTCTCTGATAGGAAAATTCTTTGAACTCAGTGACATTTTGGGGCAAATCATCTGATTTGGCTTTTATGGACCGTAGCGTGTAAGTAAGACATGTAACACGCCTAGGTCCATAAAAGCAAGTCACGCCCAGAATACATACAACATTTCATGCACCTCTCAAAAACGATAGGAATATATATCATAGCTAATCAACGTTACCATGGTAACTCAGCAAATTTTTTCAAAAAGGTGTAGACTTCTATGATTTCTGTCAATTCATGTCCTCACAGATATCTTATTTTGGTTCCGATCGCATCATTTTGCATCTCAGAAATATCAAAGGAACTGTAATATTGATGAATGAACCATCACAACTCGAAGATGAATACCCTGAGTTATACAAGAATGCTCATTAGGAGTTACTCATACGATGGGCGATGAAGTAATCTGCAGGCTATAAAGCACCACTTTACGCCCGCAAACCGGGCGATAAAGTGTCACTTTACGCCCGGTCGTGCTTTGAAATATCAACAAACGATTTGAAATAAGTCTACAAGGAATTTATTAGTGAACTTAACTTAATTTGCACTAAACTCTGAAAACTATTCGAGATCAATTCAACTAAACGAAAACCTGAATAGATTATTCTCGATTGTGTTACCAATTTCCAGTATGGAAGCGAAAAAATCGATCAGTAGAAGTCAGTTATGAGGAAAAGAACAACTGCTTCTCAGGATCGCCTCTGAAACGTTTCCTGGATAGAGAAGTCGAAGGAAACACAGTTGTGACTGAAATTCATCCAGATGAATCCCCAACACAGCTCAGCTTCTTCTGGAATCCTGTCTAAGCGTGCAATTGAACTGTACACGGACTTGGACCTCATCCAAGAACCTTGGACCATCGGAGACGTGTGCGGGGATTGGGCCTACAAGGAGCACTATAGCATTAATGTGACTTCATTAATTGACTCAGGGCCTGATGAATCATCTTTGCCAGATCACCGACACATCATTTACTTCCTCAAACGAGAGGAGAACAAAACCGTGACATACCCGAAAGTGACCGACTGGCATCTCTCCAAACATACACTCACTCCTAAGCTCGAAGGTCTTCTCACCACGTTACGATGTCAGGAGGATATTGATGCATCAGTCAATTATTTGACTCAGGTAATCGTGGCCTCATATGAGGAAAGTTGCCCCCTCAAGAAAAGTGAAAGTCTCCAAGAATAACTACAAGAAAGTGGTCAGGCGATGCAAACAAGACTCCTGAAGAAGATATGGCGAAAGTACCATCAGTTTACCTGGGGAAGCAAGGCTTCACAAGGTTCTCGCAAACACTCATAGAGTCAGTTTGGGGCTGCTGCGTCCTCTCGGTGGCACTTTCGCTGGCGAGAAGGAATCGCTCAGACACCTAGTGTCCACCCACTTTCTCAACTCACTGGAGGTATTTGATAAGATAACACCTCCAGCTAAAGCATACCAAGGAAGTATAGTCACACACGAAAAAGTCGCATGGGTCATCGAGTCTTTTGTATCCTACAAATTGGTCGAAGAAGATAGTATCTTCTCTATACTCTCGTTGGAAAGGGCATTGACAAGATATCTACCTTCCTGGTGAGGATTTACAGGGCCTGCATAGCACTGGTTTAGATCTCAGTATCCTGAAGAGCAGTGCGGGTCGTGTTTATTCCTCAGCCGAGCAGGATCGACTGCTTCCTCTCCAAATATTTTCGTCCAATTAGCCTCACATCCTTGTTCCTGAAGGGTCTCGAGAAACTAGTGGACCCATGCATCCGTGACGGCGCACTGTTTACCAACCCTCTGCACCGACATCAGTACGCTTTCCAGAATAAAAAATCTACGGACACCGCTCTTCATCACCTTGTTGGTAAGGTTGAGGCAGTTCAACATCGTGAACAGTCTAGTCTAGGTCATAGAAGGGGCTCTATACAATACCTCCTCCAATTCCATGTATAAGCTGCTCACGAGCATGAAATCAACGACACCATCGTGACATGGATATGGGCTATGCTGACACAGCGACACATTGCAGCAACCCAAGGCACTCAGGAAGTAGCGAGAGTCCCATGTCCATTGCTGTGGAGTCTAGTCGTTGACGATCTTCTTCACCTTCTATCGCGTGAACGCCTATATGCACAGACTTTTGCGAATGACATTGCAGTTCTTGTTGAGGGCCAGTTTGAGCACACGGTATAATGACCTTGCTTGCGAGGCA